AATGTCGGACACATAGCTATCACCTGAACAGTCTTTTTGTGAAATAATATCACTGAAGACAAGATAAACTTGTCTTCAAGTGTACTGCACAGTATAGTTAATTATGTGCACACTAGGCTTTAGTTGTCTTGCATGGCTGAAACTGTGCCCCATACAGTTGGACAAGCACCTTCTCATTTCCTCCCTTCACAGGTACAGGAAATCATGATCCTGCTTTCTATTTCTACATTTCTATATTTCTGTTTCTGATTCCTGTAGGTTCCTGCTAGCAATGTGATCATGTAGCAGTTGTTCTGTGGCTGACTTACCCCAACCAGTGTGTCTTTCAAGTTTATCCATATGGTAGAGAATAGAAGGACCTCCTTTTTTAAAAAAAATTGATTGAGAATTTTATTAGGAAAAGATGTTAAATTTCAATGTCTTTCTGCACCTGTTGAGCAAGGGGATCATTTTTTGTTCTTCATTCTGCAGGCCCAAGTATATCATTCCCCTCAATTTGCAAATGTTGAAATGCCTTTCCTTCTGGGAGTAAATTCTACTTGATCAGGTGTTTGGTTTGGTTTTTTTTTTTTTTTTGTTTTGTTTTTTTTTGGCAAAGTGCTATTAAATTCAGTCTGACAGTATTTTATCAAAAATTTCTATACTATGCTAACCAAGAATATTGAATTAACATTTTATTTGTAGTGTCTTGGCCAGCTTTTGTATTGGAGTGACAAATGGACCTCTAATTACTACAGAGTATTTTATATTCTTCTATAACTTGGGAGAGTTTTCTAAGACAGAATACTAATTCCTTAAGTGTTTGGTAGCATTAGTATTCACTGAGAAGCCACTTGGTTTTAGGCCAGTGAGTCTCAACCTTTCTAAATTTGCAATCCTTTAATATCGTTTCTCATGTTGTGGTAACTCCCTACAATTAAATCACTTCCATTGTTACTTCATAGCTGTATTTTTCTACTGTTACAAATTGTAATGTAAGTATTTGATATTTCTGATGGTCATAGGTCTTTTGACACCCAAAGAGCTTATGACCCACAGGTTGAGAACCATTGTTCTAGGCTTTACTGAGTTGTGAGCCTTTTAAATACGCCAGTCTGTTTCCTTGATTACTATAGGGCTGTCAGGCTTTCTAAACTTGTCAAGGCAGGCTTTCTAAACTTTTTAAGAAAGTCCTAGAGGGTTGTGTGTGTCTAGTTTTTTCTACTTCACCTACAATGTCTGCTTTGTTAATGTGTAATTATTCATAGCAATTTCTTATGATCTTTTTTATCATAAGTTGTAATTCTCTTGCATTTCTGATTTTATTTGTTCTCTGTTTCTGTGTCTCTGTCTCTCCTTCCCTTCCCTCCTCCTTCAATTTTTTTGTTTGTCTATATTCTTTATCATTTCACTGATCAATTCAAATAAATTACAAAATTGATATTAATAATAACACCAAATTGTCAAGTCAGAAAGCCCATAAAAAAAAGGTAGAAGAAGAGCCTAGTTGAAGGTGGTTGATAGGTATACTGAGCCAGGATTCTAAGGGTCAAAGTTTAGGTATAGAGATTCTGCTTGAGATACTGAGGATCCAAAGATCCAAAGGTTGATAAGCCATTCTTTTTTATTTTTTAAAGTAGAAACAAGATTGTTTTACATGCCAATCCCAGTTCCCTTCTCCCTCCCATCCTCCCCTACCACCTCCCCAACTAAAACCCTACCTAACACATACCCTTTCTTCTATTCTTCCCCTGACTCAACCTTTCTGGTCCCTCATGACCTCTGCATCCTTCCTCTTCTTCCCTTCTCATTCTCATAGTTCCCTCTTGATAATCCATTCTTAGAAACAATTATTGCCTGGAAAAACAGAGGTGAAGTAAAGGCAGAGATAACTCTATATTCTAGTGGGCTAGAATATAGAAATGAGAATTTGTTTTGTTAAGGCTGTTTGTTATACCTCTTTTTTATATAGACTTAGCCAACACAATCCTATCTAGTTTCAGTATTGCTTAAAACAGTTTGTTTCTTTTCACATTATTATATTCATAACAGAAATTTATTGCTACTCATTATTATTATTATTATTATTATTATTATTATTATTATTATTATAGTTTTCTATATACTGAAAAGCCAGGGGTAAATGGGTATAGACACCTGATACCCACATGTTTATAAAATTCAATGGATTTTGTAGGCAAGCCTGAGAAGGACAATCTTGCACATGTGTTAAACATACTTAATAGGCCAATGAGACTAAATACGGTGTTGATTGTATCTTAAGTGTACCCTTACATTTGAATATTCTCATTTCCATGGGGAACCAGAAGTCCTTTCAATTTTGGTGTTCTTCCCTTGTTCCCCCCTCCCCCCGCCCCCTTACAGGGGTCTCTCTCAATCCTCCCATTTTTTCTTTGACGCCAAGTCTGGGGAAACACTGAGGTTAGAGGACAACTTGTGGGAGTCAGTTAGTTCTCTCTTTCTATTCTGTGGGTCTCTGGAATTGAACTCAAGTGATTAGAGCCTAAGCCATTTCTCTGGTCCAAATCTAGAGTCTTTTTGACAAGCCAATCTTGAATTAACTGATATCTCGTAATACTGACACTTCCTTTGAGCAAAACTCTGAGGTATAATTACAAATTGAAGTGTCTTGACCCCTTTGAGTCTGCAGGAAATACACTATGAAAGAGAACAAACACCTTGGAAAGAACAGAAATTTTCACATGTCACAGTATAGAAATATGGTCACAATTTAGGGCTCACAGCATTTAAATACCTTCCTAGTCTGTGGCAGGAACAACTTGGACAAAATCTGAACAAAGAGTGAGAAACACCGAATTGAATCCAGATACTGTTTGTGGTGCTGATGTTCTTCTTCTTCTTCTTCTTCTTCTTTTTTTTTTTTTAACTTGACACAAGCTAGAGCTATCTAGAAAGAAAAAAACAAATGGCATTATTTTAAAAATACCACCACCAGGTTGTCTGTGGGCAAGTTTTCTTGTTTGGTGATTAGTAATTAGTAATTAATAAATAATGTGGCATGGCCTAGGCCATTGTGGGTGGGCCACCCCTGGGCGGGCGATCCTAGGTTGTATAAGAAAGCAGAATGAGAAAGTATAGGGGAGCAAGCCAGTAATCAGAGCTCTCATGGTTTCAGTTACTGCCTCCATCTTCTTGCCTGGAGTTTCTTTCCTGACTTCCTTCCATGATGGACTGTACATTGTAAGGTGAAATGACCCTTCCCCTTCCCAAGTTGCTTTTGGTCATGGAGTTAATCTCAGCAATAGGAAACAAAATATGGTTCTTTTTACTTACCCATTCTGTAGTCTTTGGTAAATTTTCTGTCTCTGAGTATGAGAATTGTCATCTGTAACTCAAGGGACCTAGATTATTTCAGTGATTTCAAATGCATTATTGTATTGTGCAATCCTTTATTTAAGCAAATTTTGTTGGCACCATCAAGAAATGAAATATGCAAGCAGATTTGCTGTTTGAAGTCTGGGTGGCTCTGTGGTTCAAAGGTTTCCCTGCACATATTGCCTGCTCTCACCAGTGGTTGTTGGTTTAATGTTACTGGACTAAATGACATCTGAGAGTTTTCTCCATTCTTAATGTCTGACTGAAAAGGCAGTGGCTAGCTTAGTAGATGTTAACATCTACACAAAACTCATGCTGAGCTGCCTTTTATAATTTTTTTGGGGGAAAGCAAACACCGAAGTTAATAATTCCTTAATACATCTCAGCCTACAGAAGAGTGATTCTTTAGGTAATGCTGAAAACAGTAGGCTTCAAAGAAGTTAGAAGGTGTGTTTATGAATAGAAGTCTCTTTTTTCTTCTGTTCACATTTAAACATAAATGCTTCTAAGAGAAATTTATAGAGCAAAAGTGGCTTTTGAGATTCTGGTAAATTCTTACACCATATACATGTTTCACAATGAAGAATTTCCATGCAAGTTACTGACCCCTGCACATATGTATGACATCAGCAAATGCTTTGATATAACAGGTATTGCATACACAATAGCCTTGAGGATGCTGGGGTTATGCTGACAAAACTCCAAGTTTGCTACCTTTTTGGTGGATTGCTAATCTGCAGTTCCCAGTTCATAGTTAGCTCTCCAAAATCTCTGTTGATTGAGTGGAAGAATGTAATAAAAATAGCCATGTCACTGAAAAAGCCTAGAACTTAATGAGAAAGCACATCCCTGGAAACAGAAGTTTATGAACTTGGCTGGTTATTGTATTTACCCATACATGATTATGTAAACATAAGCCCATAGAGCTGTTTTGTGAGCTGAGATCATAACTCCATAAAATGAGAGTGGAGTCCTTAGGGATTGGTCTATGGTCACAGAGAAAATAGTATCTGGAAATTAGACCTTTGGGCATGATTCTAAAGATAAATTGATAATCAGGTCACTTTAGAAAATGTAGTTACACAAGTTATAAAATGTAATTGTGTTTCTACCTCCTTGGTGGTGCTAAAAAAAATCCTCTAGTTTCTAATTGACTCATCCACTGTCTACTTGACTGGAAATTTTAGTTTCACACAGGCAAAACCAGGAAGAAGATCTATTGAGAGAACACTAGTTCTTTCCTTTTCAAAACATGTGTTATATTCACAGAGTTGAATCATCTTCTCATCTTGGGTTTGTGATTTCAAGCTACTCAGAACATAATTGCCATCTGAATTAGGGATGGTTATTAAGTATTGTAAAGCTTACAGAGCCCTAAGACAGCATGTTCCTTGTGTATCCAGTAAAGATTTGATTTCTGAAATGTTCCTTGATTAAAAGTGTGTCAGTTGGTTGTTTTTCCTATTGCTCTGACTATCCACCTGACAAAAGCAATCTAGGGAAGGGTGTATTCTGGTTCAGCGCTTAAGAGGGGAAACAGTTTGTCATAGCTGGGGAGGCAACATGGCTAGTCACGTTGTGTCCACAGTCAGGAACTGAGAAAGAGATGAATGCCATTGTTCACACTTTCTTGTCCCCTCCCACCCCTTTTTTATTCATTCCAGGACCACAGGCCATGAGATGGTACCACCCACATTCATGGTATGTCTTCCTTTCTCTGGTAAACTTTGGAAATGCCTTCAGGAGACACACCCAGGGAAGTGCCTCCTAGGTGATTCTAAAGCCAGTCTAATGAAGATTAACCATCATAAAAGGTCCCCAAGACAAGTAAGTCTTGTTTAAATGACACAGGATAATCAGTGTGGGATTAGAGACTCTCTGGAGCTCTTTCTAAGAGCATGAACAATGTATCTCAAGGCATATGTATCACTTAAATCTGTGATCTTCAGTTACTGCTGGTTTATATCAAAGTTACCTATTTGACTAAATGAAGAAATAAGCAGAAGTGTTCAACTGTAGAGTGGTAAATAAGTTTAATGGAATGATGGATGGAAAAAGATTTAAAAATGAATGAATTCCACACATTTATAAAGAGACTATAGTAAATTCAATAGCTTTCCCCACAGATCCTAGGGTTATAGTTATTGAAATTGTACAATGCTGTGATACAGCAAGTTCTTTAAAACTATGAGTAGGACTGTGTCCTTGACCTCCTTGGTTCTTAGAATTCTCATTTGTGTTTTCTTTGATGCCTTTTGTCATTTCTGAGTTTAGCACCTGCCACCTCTTTCCCACTTTCCTCTGATCGCCATCAATTTCATGCTGTTGTGAGGTAGAGAGGATAGAGACAATTCATAAAATTGATTTATAAAATATGTATTATGTTCCTGGAAATGTGAATAAGGTTTTTAGAACATTCTGAGGACCATAACTTCAGTCAAGTGTGTACTAAATGAATGATATTTGGGAGTGTATTTATTTGCTGTGTTCCTTTATGTCTGTTTACTTCTGGGCTTTGAAAGCATAGTATTTCCACTTGAGATGAATGAATGACACTTTTGTTTAGCTTGTTTTAGCATATTGTTATAAACTTGACTGTGAAAGACCATTGGTGTATATTGTTCTCTAAGCATGTCTACAGAATGCCTGACATTTCAACATAGACTGTTCTTAATCAGTTAATGGCAATGTATGGTTACAAGTGAACTAGTTAAAAACAAAATACTTAATAAATTCACTGATTACAAATACAAAACTTGCAATATAAATAAATGCCACAATATTTAGTCATTGCAACAATACCATATGGGAAACTGACATATCACTAAGTGACTGAAGAGAATATTTGTCTTTTAGCTGTGTTTCTGAAGGGACCAGCTTCCCTTTTGGCAGCCATAACGGCTGAACATGTGCTTCTATGACCTTGTCCTAGACACTAGAAAGTCAGATGCCTGCCTCGTGACAAGGAACCAATCAGAACTTAGCTGGTGGCGCTATGCTTTATGACCCTGGGTGTGCTTTATGGACAAGCGCACAGCAATGATGCACAAAGCATAGCAACCACCCTGGGAGGGCCTATGGGCCATAACAACAGTTGACCAATCAACACAGGACAAGCCCTCCAAGCCTGGAGGCACACCAATCCTGAACCTGTGCATACCCCTAGACACTCCCCTTTCGCTGCCCTATAAAGATCTGTACGCAGCAGCTTCGAACTGTCTTTGCTAGCCATCAGACATGGCGGGTGGATCAAAGACCCGAGCTAGCATGGCGTTAAACTACAATAAAGCCTCATGAAATTTGCATCAAGCTTTCGCCTCCATTCTGTGATTGGGGTGGCCGAGGTCCTGGGCTAAGATTCTGGAAGCCTGGGCTTTCTGAGGGTCTTACATTTCCACCACACACCATATTTTATAAAGCTGACCTGTCTCATCTTAAAATATCAGACTTTTATATCATATCAAGTATCTACCATGAAAAGCCATGTCAAATCTTTGAAACTACATTTTATCTAGAAACTAATCTCCTTTCAAGTGCTCCTTGTAAGATTCCTAAGTCATATGGAAAGCAATTATTTTCATGCTCAAGGCTCTTTCTATAAAACATATAGATTCATCCAATCTACTAGATTGACCATCAGACTGGGAATAAGCATTCACCAGAAATCTCAGATTAAAGTCCCTTGACATAGGGCTGGAGAGGTGGCTCGGAGTACTTGTTCCTCTTATGGAGGACCCAGGTTCAGCACCCAGCACCTATATGACTTATAAGCATCCATTACTTTACTTCCAAGGGACCTAGAACCTTCTTTAGGACTCCGATGGTACCAGGCATGCATATGGTACACATATATACACATGCAGGCAAAGCACACAAATCCATGAAATAAAATAAAATATGAAAATTTTAAGATCAAAAAAAAAAATCTCCTGAAGCAGCATAATGACAAAGAATGGAACCCTGAAATTGCCTGAAAGCCAAGCTAGGATAGCATTAGATAAGCTTGGACTGACCACAAATAATTCTTGTTCTCTGTACCTAATTTCACTCTCCACCAAAACAAACAAATGAACAAACAGAAAACCCCAAAAAGAATTGAAGCTGAGCTTGGTGGTACATACTTGGGAAATTAAAACAGGGAGATCGTAAGTCTAGGACCTTCCAGGGATATATAAGGAGTTATTTCAAAGCCAGCCTGGTGTACTTAGTGAGACTCCTTTCAAAATAAAACATGAAAAGAGGCCTGGGATATGGCTCAGTGGTAATGTGCTTGCCTAGAATATGTGATACCCCAGATATTGTTTCCACCTTCTCAAAGCAAAGAAAAACAAAGTCAAACTCCAAGGACTTTGAGATGCTCTGAAGTCTGCTCTAGTCCTGTCTCTGAAACACTTTAGCACAGTGGGCTCTATGAAATCCTCATCTTCACTGAGGAATTGAGAGTTTAGCTACCAACCTCAGGAAGAAGCAATATGGCCATCCTTTCTTGACTTTTCTCAGACTCCAAGGTAGTTCTACATCTTTGATGTTCTCAATTGCAAGGAACGAAGTGTAAGTAGCTTCCTGAATTCTCTTAGCAGTAAGGAGTACAAGTGATCCAACTTATAAGGAAGATGATAGCACTGGACGAACGAACCTGGGAATATGGCTGAATGGCCAAGGTGTATCTGAAGAAGTAAGGAGCCACATCTCACCTCTGCTTGGTTGGGTTCTCGGTGAGTTTTACGTTCTTTGTAATTTTGTATATTGCAAAAATTGATAGTAATTAAAAACTATAACATGAATTCATTACATGGATCCCAAAATAGTACAGATTATTGATGAAGCCCTTGGTTACTTCTCAGAGGTTGAAGGTGGTCCCTATTGTGCAAGCCCCCATACACTTAAGACATAGGACTCAGATGAATTGAGCTGGTTTTGACCTGAAAGTCTCCTTCCTTAGGTTTTACTTTCATGGTTTCAGAAAATTCTGTGCAAGATGCCAAAGAAGGGAAGCAATTATAAACAGTCTTACCCACCTGCAATATCCATGAACCATGACAATGATCAGCATGGGAAAATATCTGATTATTTCAGATGCAATGAGTGGTACTCACATGTTGGTGGCAGCTGTCTAGTTGAACTTGAGGCCCACTCAGCAGGAGGGAACTCATACCTGATACTGTAAATCCTAGGGCTAATGATGTCATGGACTTTTAAAAACATTCCACTACCACCACTTTTCTAGACCAGCATATAGTCTAAATCTTACTTTTATACCCACATAGAAGTGTAGCTGCCACCCCTCATCAAAGAAGCCTCTCTTTACAGCAGATGGAGACATCACAGAAAACCATAACTGGACACAGTGCAGAGGCCAACAGATTGTGAAGAGCAAGCTGGGTGTTGGTGGTGCACGCCTTTAATCCCAGCACTAGGGAAACAGAGGCAGGTAGGTTTCTGTGAGTTCGAGGCCAGCACTACAGAGTGAGTGCCAGGATAGGCTCCAAAGCTACATGAGAAACCTTGTCTTGAAAAAACAAACCAGAACAAAAAGGAGATGGTGAGGAGCCCAGCTCCAAAAGATACATCTACATTACAGCCCCTGCATCTTTGTCTCATGGAACATCGCAGAAGAAGGCATGGAAAGACTCTAAGAGGCAGGATGGCAGAAGCCAGCTATGAAACGGTTTCTCCTAGTAATGGTTGCAGAAATAAGATCAGAGCAATGGAACTATCAATGTGAAACAGAGAAAATTTCAGAGGTTTTTATCCCTAGACAAAGAACTAGAGAAAACTAATGACTAGTGTATGAAGGAGTGTATGAAACTAGTCCCTTTCTGGGATGAGTCTCTTACTGGTTGCTCAATACAGAATGGTCAGCCATAAAACTATACACACATTGTATGTATATTCATGTATACTTATATACATACATATGTACATATATATTGTCCTTGTCATTTGTATATAGCTACATATATATTGCATGCACACTATCTATACATGTATAGTACATATAACAATAATCAAAGAAATAGAAGCTGTCAATTTGAGAGGGGGCTAGAGTGAGGAAAGTGATATAATTCTAATTCAATTGAAACATACCTAAAAAGTAATTCATCTTATATGTCTGTTCTGTTAGATATTGACGTGCAAAGGGATAGTATGTAATTTATCCTTGTGTTTTTAATTTTTCCAGCACCTAGTAAGTATTTGTTGAATATTGTTGGGTCAAATTGAATTTTTTCCTCGTTTCCTTTACATCCATTCAGACAAGTGTGTGTGTGTGTGTGTGTGTGTGTGTGTGTGTGTGTGTGGTCATGATTCATAATTTATCCCCATTTACTTAGCTACATATATATTGCACATATATTAAGAAGCACAGAGGATTGGGGCTGAAAATGGAAGTTCTTTCCCTTTAGATAAAAGATCTTACTTTCCACATAAGGAAAAACATGGTTCACAAAGGTAAAGGGACTATACTCACACAGCTAATGGTTTTCTGAATGTAATCTCTGTGAAAGTAGGCACTTATGACATTTTAAATCTATATCCATATCAATAGCACTTAGAGGCTTGGAACAGAGCAGGTGCTCAATAAATATTTATTAAGTAGATAATTTAATGCCATTTGTTTGGGACAGATTTTCTCACTATTTTCTGTCTTTCTTCTGAATGGACTAGAATCTCAGAGAGGGTGTTGTCTATAAAGTTTTCGTTTCCTCACTGAGAACGAAAGGCTCATCATTTGTGAGATTTATGATGAACTACGCTGTAAACCGTAGTTATTGTTACAAAGGAAATGAGAAATGAAGGCAATGGAAATCACTGTAAGGTGAACTCAATTTCTTCATAGTTGATTATTCACTTGTGTGGCTCAGGATGCTTCAGACCTGATGCCTAATGGGTCAAGTGTGGTGACACTGTAAGGGAGAGGGACAAAGAGCCAGGGTGGGCTGAGGGAAGACTCAGGTGCATTACGCAGAGGCCATTACACAGTCCTGGGAGAGCATTTTGGGGACCAAGGCCATGTCTGGAAGCATCTCTTAGCATCCAGGGCCTGAGGATTCAAGTGATGGTCCCTGTGTAAAAACAGGGCTGCAGAGAAGTGAGAACGGAGCTGTTCAGCATTTGTAAGAAATGAACTGGATTATAGTCTCATGAAAACAGTCTGAGGAAACGTGGGTTCCCAGTGTGACACCAGAAGAAGCCAGACCAAGAATTGGACAATCTTCCAGGGCACATTATTTCATCAGTGATGCAGGGAGGGAAATCACAATTCTATGGGAAGGCTGAGCTAGACTAATGGATACTGACTGTGATAATGCATGTAAGAGTCCTGGAAACAGGGAATCAGATCTCAGCTATATTTTAATTCCTAATATATCAACCCATGTTAGAAGCATGGCACCATTCAATTCAAAGTCCTGGGACATTAAATAATGTGGGAAGGAGCATGGGGAGATTTCACTGGTCCATCCACCTCACTCTTCTTAAACTGGAAGACATCTTTGGGAGGCACTAATACAGTCCAGGGCAGCAGCTAATGTCAGCCAGTTTCCTTCATTTACAGTAAGGTTGGTTCAAGCTACTCACCAATCTATTGTTGTTTACTTGCAGACACCTAGTTACTGTTTGCTCCCAATTAAGACTTATATTTTAATTTGGATATGAGCTAGATTCACTGGGAGACAAAGAAAAATGCCAGAGCACATGAGAAATGCATAGGACAGAAACATTTCATGCAATCCAAGCAGTGTCTAAAACTTGTCTCCCTCCATCTCATAGTTTTGCAGTCATTCAAGTTAAGGCTAGCATATCTTTAAGAGTTTTTATGCCAAGCAATATTTTAACCTATGTATCATGAGCAGTAAAGTCGGGTTATCACACAGGTATGAGTATCAGCATTATTGCTTCATTTTATGACCACCTCTTCCTCAAAATTTGATTTTACTGTGCTTCCAGATCTCCCCCTTCTGCTGCAGGATCCGCTGCATCTTTCTGATTTGTCTCCCTCCTGATACAAAAGCCCTGGAACCCAGTTCAGTATGATTCAGCAGAAGTCTGGGTAAGGACTTGCGGTGAATACCGCCTCTACTGTGTCCTTGAAATTGGGGACTGTCAGCAAAGCAGATAAGTCAATCTGAAGGCTTCTCTAGGGGAGCCATGCGGAGCTCTTCTCGCTGTCAACAGCACTTCCTGTTCACAGCTTCAGCCCCTGGAAATGCTTTCGCTGAACAGCAAGCCCAGGCTGTCAACCACTGCAGTGGAGGCCTTTGTTGGCAACTTCTCTGCCTGTGCACACAGAGGACTCATTCTTCCACAAAAGGCCAGGCAGCCTGCTGATGGGCCAAGCCAGTTTACACGGATGTTGCTCTCCAGAGGAAAGGCAAGCGAGCATGGATTGGTGCGGGGCATAATGAAGCCATTTATCTCTCTGCAGTTTTGTGTCCCTTCCCCAGTATATGCTGCCTTCAGCGTGCCTCCTGTACCACGCTTTGAGAGGCAATTCTTAACAGACTGAAATACCTCTGACACTCCTTCCTCTAAGATAAATTCCTGAATATACAACAGAGGCTCTTACAAGGTGCTGTCTCCAGCGTCCCTTGGGGGAAATGCTTTGAGGAGAAAGTAATGTCAATGACACCCCTCCTCACACCCACCTTTCCTTTGATCTCAGCGTATTTACCTGTGGCTTACTGGTATCAAGACAAGCTAGGAATGGAACATTGGGCTTTGAAATAAGTCTGGTTCTCCAATAGGCTCTCTTTGAAGTCAGATCCATTATGTATTGTTTATTGCCCTTTCAAGCATGCCCACATGGATTTCTAAGACTGGGACTCATCTTTACTTATTCAAAGGAATTCCAGTTTGTTTCCATATTGTCTT